AGCAAAGGTAAGAAGGTTCACATTATAATTCATGTGGCTTTTATGTCAGTAAGTTCGACCACACCTGTAATTAATGTCTTCCTGCAAAATACTCATCTCCCACAGTACATTTCAAATGGAAACCTTTAACTATGTTTTTGAAAGCACACTTTTATTCATTTACAAATGTGACCTTAATCCTCAGACTTTAACTGAACTGGACCCTACTTCCCTTGATACACGCCTCTAAATATTGAGATCATAACACTGAAATCCACATCCACTGAATCATTCAAAAGATACGTGCCAGACACTGTTCTTGACACCAGTGATGTCACTAGTAGAAGAAATACATATGTGTATATAATAGAATTATAGATCTTTTGTGAGGCCCTGGAATGTCATGGTTAGGATCACAGGCTCTGGAACCAGATGGTCTGCATTAAACCCCAGTTCTGCCACTTGGAGGTTATGGGACTTCAGCATTGTCACTTGCCTGCTCTGGGCATTGGTCTCTTCCTCTATAAAACAAGCCTGACAGTCTGCATCTTATGGTGGTGTTGTAAGGATTACACAGTTAATCCATGGAAAGTGTGTGACACAGCGTCTGGCAAATACTCTAATAAGCACTTAATAAATATTAGCAATTTTATGTTTGTACTCTTTTCTGATAAATTATTGCTAAATGATTGAACTTCTTATGTGAGGCTGTTTTCCATTATAAAATAAAAAGAAATCTGGAGATCAGGTGGGGAGTGAGTCTTAAAGGGATACAAAGGAATTAATAGCATTTTGTTGCCATAACAAAACCATTTCTTGGTCCTGACTGAGCCTTTAAAGGCCTATAATTTACATGCATGCTCCCTCCCTCTCAGCAGGGCAGGCTTTGGGAGAACTATTTGTGCAAGCAGAACGAAGGTCAAGGGACTCCTTGTATTGAAGGCCTTTCTCAAAATGAAGGATTTGGCTTCTGAGATTAATGTCCGGAGGGAACCCCTGCTATACTTAATTCCCTTTTCTGTGAACTCAGTACATTTTTAAAATTCAGTTAGGGGCCCTCCTATGGTGTGTCATGGAAACTGCCAACCCAGACTCTCTTCTAATAGACTTCTGAATGGCCTTCCTGGTCCTATGGGTGGATGACTGCATTCGAGGGTTAGCGGTGGGTTTAATCCTTTGGATTAGCGTGTCCTGGAATAACGTTTCTTGAATTTGCACAGATTGGATCCAGTGGAGATTTAATATAAAAATTGAAAATGAAAAGATTTCTTAGGAAAGCTGTCTGTGGGTGTGGTCACCCTATGGGAACCGGGAGGCTGTAAAAACCGCGGGGCTGAGAGGGCTCTCTGGTCAATTTGCATGTTCTGGATAAAATAGGACTTTGGTTTTTTTTGAATAATTTCTGTTGGGAAAAATATCACCAGCCTCAACAGGAAGCTTGGGCTCAGGTAGGTGATTTTTATCCCATCCAGTAATAATTGCTTTGTTTCAGGTCAAATTAGGAGAATTGAGAGAAATAGGTAGAAAGTAAAATCATTGAGAAGATACTGTGATTATCTTACCCTGTAAGACGATAACTGAAAGGTCAGCTCTCATTAGAAATAAATAATAAACCAGGACCTTGGGGCACACCTTTAATCCCAGCAACCCAGGAGCCTGAGGCAGGAGGGTCCCAAGTCCAAGGACAGCCTGGGCAACTTAGCCAGACTCTGTCTCAAAATAAAAAAAAAAAAAGGCCTGGGGATGAGGCTCAGTGGCCAGGTACTGTTCTGAGCGATTTGCATATAACTGCTGCACTGTATATTTAAGCCTCATATAGACCCTAGTCTATAATCTTTAAGAAAAATAACTAATATGTATTGAAAACTTAGTGGGGATAAAGAGCATGCACCAGCCCCTGGGTTTAATTTCCAGCAACTTGAAAGAAAAGAAAAAAGAAAGAAAATTCGTAGATAAAAAATTAGCGTGTTGCCAGGCACCTTTGCGCACATCTGTAATCCCAGCCATTCTGGGGGCTGAAGCAAAAGGATGGCAAATTCAAGGCCAGCCTGGGCAATTTAGTGAGACCCTTTCATATGTGCTATCTCATTTAATCCTCCTGATAGTTAGGATAGTCAGCAGCAGCAGCCTGAGGTCTAGAGTTAGGCAACTTGCCCATGACCCCACATCCGCCAGGGTGCCAACTTTGATCTCACTGACTTACAGCCCCCCACCCCCCCTCTTTATTTTGCTGCGCTTCTGTTTGTCACAGAGCTGGAAGCCTACTTCACAGGGTCAGCACGCCTCACTTCTCACAGGGCACACATCTTTGATGGGGTTTGCATGCCTCCAAAATGAGAAGTGTCCAAAACCTCCAGCCAGAATCTCTTGGCCCTTCCCCAACAACACAACTAGAAGCTAAATAAATCTTTTGAAGTTCCCTTGATCCTGCTCCCTCACTGAGTATAGGAAGAGTAGCCATAATTCCAATAGCATGCAATCGTCAGAAACAAACAAAAAAAAAATCTGTTTCTGCTACTTACTAGAAACTTCAAGCAACTGCTGCCAACCTCAGTTTCCTAATCTGAGCAGTGGGGTGATTTAAAATGAATTGTGCCTTCCCCATTTTTAACATAGTTGTGATGATTGGAGGTGGTAATTAATGTATCATTCTAAATGTTATATACTTGAGTAGCTATTATTATCCTGTGGCTCTTGGCAAAGGTCTGAGCCTTGCCTCCTTTGATAAGGGTATCTTGGCATGGTGTTATTTGAATTAAGAGAAAGACAATTCCTTGTAAGCCTTAGAGTAGGTTTTTTAATTTTTTTTTCCAGGTGCAAAAGGAAATGCCATTTCCCAAGTATTTTCTCCTTGCCAGGAATTGCAGTGAGAATTTGCCTCTTGTTTAACTCCCTGAAATCCAGAGAGGTAGATGTTATTACTTAACAAATGAAGGAACTGAAGCTCAGACCGGTTCAGCAGTCTGTCCAGTATCTCACCACTAAGAGATTCAGACTCTAAGGGAAACCAGGCTCCATGTTCTTTGCGCTCACTCCAGAACATTGCTTCATAAGCAGAAGGGAAAGAAGGAAGCAGAAAGCAAAGGGCAGGGGGTTGGAACACTAAAGGGATGCAGGAGAAGAGAGTCTGCCTAAGAATGAACAACAGCATTGCAGGGCTGGGTGTGTGGGTCAGTGGGGGAGCACTTACCTAGCTAGCTATCCCCAGCACCCCCACATGCTAGTAATAATGAAAAACAGGCAATTAGGTCACTCACAAAAACAAAATAATGAAAGCTTACAGTTCTTTTGCCATAGCCTGTCACTTAAAAAACCTATTTTAGCCAGGCGTAGTCCCAGCCATTTGCAAGGCTGAAGCAGGAAGATAACTTGGTTTCACAAGTTCTAGACCAGCTTGGGTGACAAGGGGAAAAAACAAACAATAACAAACAAACAAACAAAAAAACACAACAGACTCAGAACCATTAGGAGGACTTGCTTCCTGGAACCTGGACCTCGTCCAGGGCCATCTTCCTTGACCGCAGCCCCAGTTCACCTGGTCACACTGACCTCTGCACTTTCACCCTCACTCTAGGCAAGTGCTGTGCCACTGAGCTACACGACTCCTGCTTTTCAACACTCATTCTATTTTTCCCAATCATTGTTCTCTAGGCTCTCTGACCCAGTGCTTCCTATTGAAAATCCTGTTCAGATGTGGAAACATCTGTGCTCCCAAGAATGTTTCCCCTTGAATCCTCTATCTCAGAGGGTCCCTGACATTGAGAATCTTTGAAGATTCTCTGGGAAAGAAAAGAAAAATTTAGGCTAATGTGGAGTTGGTTTTCCAAGTTATTTATTTATTTATTTATTTATTTTTTTGATGGCAATACTGGGGATTAAATTGGGGGCACCCTACCACTGAGCTGCATCCCCAGCGGTTTTTATTTTTGAGACAGGATCTCACTAACTTGGTGAGACTGGCCTCAAGCTTTGTGTTCTTCCTTCCTCAGGATCCTGCATTGCTGGGGTTACAGGTGTGCATCACCATGCCTGGCTTCCAAGTTGTCTTAAGGTTGTGGAGCCCTTGTTCATGCTTGGCAGAGTCAACACTTAGGTATGGTGCAAGAACTTAGGAGTGTTCCCACTGCCTGCTATTCTCGGTGCACACTGGTTTGTATTGACAAGAGATGAATCTAAAACTCAGAAAATATTGAATTGTTCTGGGTTAAATTTTGCAGGAAGATAAAAAAAAGGTTAAAGGATGTCAAATGTTGCAGAATTCTTTTCCTAGAAGGAATCACTTTTCCCAGAGGTGGAAAAGGCTGCTTTTAGATTTAACCAGACATAGGAACTAAGCCTGGCTTCATTACTCAGGGAAAACTTGAGCTAATTACTAAATCTCTGTGATCTCAGTGTCTTCATCTGCAAAATGAGAATAACAGAATCCCTCTGTAAGGAGTTGATGAGGTATGATAGGATGGGTCAAAGTGGTACAAAGGGCCTCGTTAATGTACAGGGATTATGATTTCTTTGTTTAAACGTCAAGTGGAGGTTAAAGATGGAGACATGACCACATTTTAGTTTTAAATAATCACATTTTTAATATATATGAAAAGTTCTAAAATTACTTACTTCTAATTCACACTGGTTTAAGAACCCCCCCCTAGTTAAACAGCAGGTCTAAGCAAGTGCCTAAATCCAAATTAGAATTAAGCACACCCAGAGGCCAATTGCTTGATCTTGAATTCCCTTTCTATTACTGAACTTCATGGAATTTGTAACATACATGTCGCTTGTCACTCTTATAACTTTAAAGTGAGATGAAAATCAGTTGTACACCCCTTTACAAATACTTTATTTTCCATTGTATTCGAGACTGTTGGTAATGAATCTAAACTGCAAAAAATCCCGTCGTTAGAATCTTCTAGAAACCGAGGGGGAGGGGCTTTTGAATAACTTGCTCTTGGCCTCCCACCTAACTAGTGGCAGTGCTGAGTCTGGGGTCCATTCTAACTTGGACTGCACTCTCCTTTGCTGGGGGGAAAAAAAACCAAACATATAATAATGATAATAATGGCAACTATCACCACGTGCCAGGTACCCTTACCCTTCCAAGCTCTATATATGTTTACCCATTTAGCCAGCAAAAAGTATTTTTGGAGCATTTCTCCACTAAAGTAGCCCAAGGAGAGACAACATCCCTCCCGCCCCACTCCGTTGAATGACTTTGCAACCCGAAATCACAACTCGGGTTTTAGGTTCCTGGTGGTGCCCGCTTCCTCTTCTAGTTTGTTTAGTCACAGAATTCGATTCCTGTTGGCGGACTCAGCGCCTCCAAACAGGCTTAGCGCTCTTTTGAAATGCGGGAGGCTCCTTCACTCTTGTATAAACAGGTAACGTGGGGGGTGGGGCGCGGGTTGCAGGCGCTGGGTGGGTGCGTTTGGTGGGAGTGGGGAAGGGGTCGCCCTTGGAGCCAACTCGGCCGAGATCAGGCAAGGTTCAGACAGGCCCTGGGCTGCAGTTTCTAAATGCACTGTTTTTGTTCCCTTTCTAGAAACCAGCTGTAACACCAGGTCAGAGCGCATTAAAATGAGCCACTTTGAACGAGCGGCGCCCAGGCCCCAGGCCCTGCTGTGAAGGCCCCGGCCGAGGTCAGGACTCGGTCCGCGTGACGTGCCTTCCTACGCGGGTCCGAGCCAGGCTGTGCCGCAGGTGAGGACGCGGGCGGAGGGCCCCGGTGCCTCAGGCCCGCCTCGGGGCTCGCCGCGAGCCTACCTGCTCCTACGACCTCTTTCCCAGTGAGAGGCCGGGGGAGGGTGGGACTGCCCGGCCTGCGATCAGCAGCGGGATTCTGCGCCCTGTCCTCCAACTTAGTTCTTGGCTGGGTTTCTCTGAGCCACCCAGAGGGGGCCGGACGCCTGAGCCGCACTCCTGTCCCCAGGTGGAGCAGGTGCTACTTTCTGGGGCCCTTTCTGCCGGTTTGCGATGCATGGGGCTGTTTGAGCGAGGGGAGGAGGAGTCCATCGGGCGAAGTCCCCAAATCTCTCCATCAAGGCCGATTTTTTTTCTTTTCTTTTCTTTCTTTTTTTTTTTTTTTAACCTTCAGCTAAGGTATCTGCGCTCCTAAAACAACAGGAATGTTGCACTGGCCTTCAGCCAGCGGAGGCTCAGCGAGCAGGATAAAATTTCAGTGCAGATTTACGGGAAGTTGCCGGTGTTGGGAGTAAAAATCTGGTTTGGTGAGTTTAAGGGAAGGGAGTAGACAGAGACAACCTTGCTACTGTGAGGCGAATGGCCTCGGCTGGGGGAGGGCAGCGGGAGGCGGGAGGGAGGGAACCGGGAAGAGCCCGGAGACCAGACCCCGAGCGCTCCCCGCGCGCCGCGCCGGACGCACGCAACCGGGCAGCCGGGCCGCTGGTCTCCGCGGGGTGCGGGCGCGGCGCCGCTGGGCTGGGACCCTCGCCGCGCTCTGCCGGTGTCGCTGCCGCGGGGAATCGAACCCCACAGCTGCCTTCGGGTTATTGGAACGCGCAGCCCGGGACAGTAGGAAGCCAGGGTTTTGGGGGAGTTGTCCTCGTGAGGAGTTCCTTCTCTGCGCCCGTCTCCAAAGTTGAGAGATTCTGACCCACTGCAATTCCCCGAGCCCCGGAGTTGAGCCTAAAACGATCTGTTGCTTTAAGCGGCGAGGTGGGAGTAGCTGGACACTCCTTATTTTGGTTTTACATTAAAAAGAGGGCGGCGGCGAAGATGTTGTAGGTTACTTCCTAGCTGTGTCCATTGCTACCCGAGCGGGGACTGGTGGTAATTTCTCAAGTGGGCGACTCCAGATGCTTACCAAAGGTAAGGCGGCTTTTGGTGATCCTTGTCACTACTGTCCCTGAATCTTCCATCTGGATCCCAGTTTTGAAGTAGTAACTTTTCCCCCTCCTTTTTCTTCGCTCGTTTTGCCCTATCTCGCTCCTTCCACCGTCTTGCTTCTGGTTCTGGGTTGTTTAGTGGGAAGTAAAGGGTTTATAAAAAGATTTGTAAAGCGTCAGCTTTTGGAAAAGCAGATCATCGTACCGACAGCCCCTTCATGTTTCCTGTAGCAAAGAGTCTTTTTCCCTAAAAGAAACAGATTTTTTTTTTTCCCCACCCTTGAAAACACATGATTGGGCTGCCCAGAGGCACAGGTGACTTTAGAGTCGGATTGTTACAGTGAGATTGCAGAAGCATTCATGACTTGAGGCATCCCATTTAGGTGTTAACCAAGGCAGGAAGGGGGTCTTCCTGGATTCCTTCGCCTCTGCTGGGAACCCACAGGGGAGGCTGGGTTGTTTTTTCAAAGTTAAATATTCAAGCTGTAGAAACGGGTAGGGCCTGAGGATGATGACAGCTAACAGTCACCGGATAATTAAGAAATGAGTTAAAATAAGTGGAAGTGGAATTTTCCAAATAAATGACTCATTTTAAAATTAGATAAAAGTTTAGTGACTCTGGGGGGTACTGTCCCAAGGCCTTTAGGGACGTGGCTTCTATTTTGAGGCTTATCAAAGTCATAGAAAAATAACCATCCTCTCAAGGTACCCAGTCAGGCCATTCCTGATTTGCACTAAAAGTAATTTTTTCCCTCCCTGGTAGTGTCTTCAGTTTTCTTCAGCAGGAATACAGTTGAAGATTTTATTTAAGCTTTAAGGTGAAGTCACACAGATTTTTAAGGGGAGGGAAAGCAGAGCCTTGGCAATACAACAGAAGGGGTTGTCGCAGTTCTGAGCACAGAAAGTTGTCCATTAGAAAAAGAACTGCAGATGCTGATTCTAAAAGGTGAAAGGTTGTCAGTGGTGTGGTGAACAACCACTAGACAAACCAAAGTACCCAACCAAGGGACTGAGCACCTTGTGGAAGTTTATGCTGCTCTCAATTTAAAGAATAATGTTAAGTTGATAATCAGAGGGAAGAAAACCAACTCAATGTGAAAAGGAAGTGGGAGGAGGAAGGGAAAGGAGAAGGTAATTTGAGTTTTTGTGTATTTTTGTGTCCACCTGACCCTTCACCTTGTTCTGATTATATACGCCATAGGCCTCTTTGACTTCATTTGAGGCCATACCTGGGGAGAACAGGGAATCAGAAACTTCACAAGTTTCTAGCTGCATGATTGACAGTATTTACCAAATGAAGAAGATAGGTGACAGTAGCAAAGTCTCTAGCCTAACTCTGCAGTCCTTCACTTTTCTTACGAAATAATTGTTTTTGTTTTCCAAATTCTACCTCCCAGGCCCATCCCAGGTGGTACTGGAGGGTTGCTGGGGAATGGAACCCAAGGTCTTATGCGTGCCTGGCACTTGCTCGGTCACTGAGCCACACCCCTCCCCCCACTTAAATGAATCAGATCAAGAGTATTTTTGAACATATTTGAATATGAATCAAAATCTGATGTTTTATTATCTTCTTGATTGTTGCCTTTTAGGAAGTTTATGGGATTGAGAATTCAGTATCAACATTTTCAGCAGTATCTGTAGTTTCAGCGGTTCTATCTATTTACTGATTTTTGAGTGGTGAGTCTCACTATGTTGCCCAGGTTGGCCTCAAATTGATGATGGCTTATCAATTCTATTGCCTTCTGAATATATTTATTTTTGATTCCTCACTGAAATGCTCTAGATTAAATTTTGAAGGGGTTACACCTAAAACAGTGATCCTGAAGATAAAGTAAGGCGGAAAACAAGGAAGCTGCATGTTTCTGGACACATGTTCTGAGCACCTAGTGTTTAATACATTCAGTGTTTTTCCTCACATGATAAGAACATTCATATTAAACTCTAATCTTTGGGTTACTAGTAATCAATGATTAAAAAATGGGGTTTTGGCTCAGTGGTAGAGTGCTTGCCTAGCACCTGTGAGGCATTGGGTTCGATTCTCAGCATTACATAAAAATAAATAAAGGTATTGTGTCCATCTACAACTAAAAAATAATTTAAAATGTTAAAAAAAAAGATTAATGTAGATAAAATAGTTTTCTTACAAGACGATTGAATATGCTTTATAAATTCTACTTTTTGTTTTTTCTTTTTTATAGTGCTGGGGATGGAACTCGGGACATTATGCATGCATGTTAGATAAGGGTTCTATCCTTGAGCCACACCCTCAGTTCTCAAATTCTATTCCTGAGCCCCAAATTAAAATAAGTCCTATTCCATTTTGCAGTTATGAAACCTGTGTGCATAGGACTTCACACCTCTGCCACAGTAGACCTATCCACAGTAAATAGATAGAACTGCTGAAACTACAGACCTATCCACTTGTCTTGTAAAGGGTCTGTTTTGTTATACAACACACAGAATGCTGTTTTCAGCCTTGATTTTCCAGAATTGTGTTTTTTACAGTCATTTCTTCAAGGAAAGCTAAAGGATTTAGTTGGAGGGGAAAAAATAAGTAAATCATGTCCCAAATAATTGAGACCCCCCTGTCCTTCTGAAGATTGAACCTAGGGCCTGCATATGCTAGGCAAGCACACTACCACTGAGCTATACCCCCAGCTTTTTATAAAATTTCTTACTTTGAGACAGGGTCTTTGACCAGATTGGCCTTGAATTTGACATCGGCCTGCTATAACCTCTTATGTAGCTGGGATTACAGGTGTGCCCACCCTGGGCCCAAATGTTTGAGCTTTGAGTTCTATAGAAATAGTTTTGTGTGTTTCCACTTGCATATCTTAAGTCCTCTCCCTGGTTTTTTTCTTTTCTTTTTTTTTTTTTTTAGGAAAGGCTAAGGAAGTGAGTACAGGGTGCTGGTGTGGGAGAGAGATTTCCTTAAAACTGGATCTGGATTCAGGCTCAGGGATTTTGGTATCCCAAAGAATACATAGTCTTGGAAAAAACAAAAAGCAAACCAAAACAAAAAAATTTCCTACTGTGAAGAGGGCTTAAATTTGGGAATTGTAAGATTTAGGAAAAGGAGATGTTTTGCTAGAATGCAGAATTTGCATAACCAATTTACATAAAGTTACAATGAAGACATTTAATGTACCTTAAAATGCTTGTCAGAATGAGTCCAAGTTAAAAGTTATGTTGGAACCTTCCAACTCCTGGCCTGATGAAGAGATGTATTTTTCCTCTTGGGAGCAATCTCGGTCTTAGGATGACGTTGATTTTTCTGGTTTAATACCATCAGTGTTAATCAGAACAGCCACCTGCTCAGTCATTGCTTCAGGGAACCACCTGGTGAAGATTTTCCATAAATGGCAATGCAGGGATGACTTGGGGTACAAGAGAGGTGCGGCCTCAGGACCCTCCAGGTAACTGGTGTAAAAATGATAATAAGTAATCATCTTGTTGCCACCTCTAGTTTTTGGAAACATCTCATGCTGGAGACTGGGGGTGGTGGCGGCATGCTGCCACTTTGTGTGTGCCATCCAGAATCACCTGTTGGAGCACTCCTGAGATGGTCTCAGTTGGTCACAGCTTGATTCTTATTTGATACTTCTCACGTCCATATGGGGAGAGGAGATTAGGTGCGGGTAGGAGATATCTTCCCCCTGGAGTCATTTAACACCCCCCCACACCCTGCTTTTAAGAATCTCTTTTTGCTTTGAAAATAGTGTAGGGGAGAAATTTTCCAGTTAAAGTAGAAAGGAAGAGAGGTGTAGAGGAACAGATGGCCAAGAAACAGGTGAGTTCAGCATGTGCTGCTAGTGTGGAATTCAATAGAAAGTTCACAGGGAAATTATCCAAGTCCTTAAACTCTTGCAGGTGAACTGGCGAATGTGGGAACTTGAGGCTCCTTCCCACCTCTGTACCTGGAAGTTTTCTAGTGGGCCACAGGAGATGCTGATTTGATTGAATTCAAGATACCATCTCTTGGTACAGCCAAAACTAAGCTGATTGCAAAAGGCACATGCCTTTCGCCTTACTCCCACCGCCTGCCTTCCCTCCACTTTCTGCTGGTTTCAGGATAGCACCCCAAATACAACTTTTATATAGAATATGAATTTTTAATTGTTGGTGTGACTCTTTAGTGTCATATCATAGGAACTCAGTTTATGAAAAAATGGTTTGTTGGTGTGTTCAGAGGTATATAAGTTTATGTTTATAAAATACCAAAAACCTCAAAGTAACCTGATGGTATGGTAGAAGCACTGGATTCCAGAAGGTATTTTTTTTGGGGGGGAGTGAACTCTGGGGATTGAACTCAGGGGTTCTCGATAACTCAGCCACATCCCCAGCCCTATTTTATATTTTATTAGAGACACGGTCTCACTGAA